TATAGCCATCAAATATAACAAACTTCCAGCCAAACTTCTATAAAAAGAAGCATCAACATCTTTACTTTCATCTTCTTTTGTCAACTTTTCATTCACCACCAAAGGTGTAGCAACCGATTTGTAAGTTACCATTTTAAACTTTTCAAGGAGAGTTTTTGCATACTTTATTTGGGGAATAAAAACATCATCTTCATTTTTAAAAACTTCAAATCCCAAGAAGTAATGCAACAAACCCAAATCACCCATCTTATATTTTTTCATTATATCTCTTTTAAATTCTTCAAGCATCTTTTCATCATTTTTGATAAAAACAAGATCATCAACATAAAGAAAAACAATAAGAATACTAATGTTACTTTGTTTTTTGACATACAAGGTTGGCTCTCTTTTGCTCCTTTGAAAGCCTTTATTGTTGAAGTAGGAACTGATCTCGCTATACCCTGTTCAATGTGCTTGTTTCAACCCATATAATGTCTTCTTCAACTTGTAAACTTTATTTTCTTTTTCTTTGACAACAAAGTTTTGTGGTTGATCCACATACACCTCTTCCTCCAAGTCTTCATTTAAAAATGCGAACTTCACATCAAGTTGGTATAAGAACCATCCCTTTTGAGCCACCAAAGCAATAAGTGCTCTAACTGTGTCAAGCCAAGCCATTGGTGAAAATGTTTCTTGATAATCAACACCAGGTTGTTGATAATACCCCTTTGCAACAAGTCTTGCTTTGTTATTTTGAATTAACCCATCCAGATTAAGCTTTATTTTTGAAAATTCTCTTCACACCAATGACTTCTTTTCCTTTGGGTCTCTCCACCAACTCCCACGTCTTGTTTTTTTCAATCACCTGAATCTCCTCTTGCATTGCTTTCTTCCAAACTTCTAGTTTAATTACTACTTCAAAGTTCTCCGGTTCAATCACACAAAAGTTGCATCTTGCATACACATCACTAAGACTTCTCATTTTTCTTGGAGTTGAACTTGGAGACAAAGAACTTGAGCTTGATGGAGTTGATTGTGGACTAGCAATAGGAGACATTTGATTTGAAACATCAAGATCCTCATCATCACTTTCTTCACTCCCCACCTCTTTATAAGTAGGAGAAAAATAATTTTGCACATTCTTTTCTTTTCAATTACAAGAGGCTTTTTCATCAAATATGACTTTTCTTGAAATAATCAACTTATCTTTTTTCAAATTGTAGAGCTTATAGTCTTTTGATTCAGTGATATAGCCCACAAAGATACATTTTTCACTAACCTCATCAAGTTTATGCCTATTTTCTTTGGGAATGTGTGCATAACAAATACACCCAAAAACTTTCAAGTGATTAACCGAGGGCTTCTTTTACTCCAAGCTTCAAATGGAATTTTGTTTGAAAGGGCTTTTGTTGGACATCTATTCAACAAATAAATCGTTGTGTTAACGGCCTCGCCCCAAAAGGTTTTGGGCAAACCCTTTTCATGAAGCATTGATTTAGACATTTCTTTAATTGTTCTATTTTTTCTCTTCATCACTCCATTTTATTGTGGATTATATCCAACAGTCAATTGTCTTTCCATCCTAATATCTTCACAAAAACTTCATAAATTAATTAGAATTATACTCACCATCTCTATCACTTTTTAACACTTTCATAAGGTGGCCACTTTGTCTTTCAACAAGACTTTGAAATTTTCAAAAAATATTAAACACATCCGATTTTTTTCTCATAAAGTAAACTCATGTCATTCTTGAAAAATCATCAATGAAAGTATTGAAATACTTGTTACCTCAATGAGTTGTTGTGTCCATAGGCCCGGACACATCGGTATGAACAAGTTCCAATGGTGTTTTAGCTTTGTATGCCTTGTCTTTTGGAAATGTCTTATGGTGTTGTTTCCCAAGAGCACAGCCTTCACAAACTTCTTTGACTTCTTGAATCATCGGCAATCTATGCACCATGCCCTTTTGTTGTAGATATTTCAATCTTTAAAAATTCAAGTGACCAAATCTTTTATGCCAAAGTCAAGTTTTATTTATAACATTCATCTTCAAAGTAATATTTTTTGCATACCTCAAAGTGAGTAGAAAACTTTTATTTTTGTCCATATTGATTGTTGCCACCATTTGCTTTTCTCCCTCCTTTTTCATAAATCTTGCAAGTATCATCTTCAAAGTGAACTACATACCCATGTTCCATCATTTGATCAACACTCAACAAATTTTGCTCCAAGTCCGGAACTAGTAAAACATCTCTAATATATCTTGTTTCTTTCTTGGTCTCCACCGTAATAGTACTCTATCCTTTTGCTTAGATTAAGGTACCATTACCCATTTCGACTTGCGAATTTGAGGAAACATCAAGGTTGGCAAAAATGCTTTCATTACCGGTCATGTGGTTACTACAACTACTATCAACAAACCAAATATCACATTTTTTTTCCAAAGCATTATGACACGCATAAAACATGTTCTCATCAACTTCTTCTTTTTTGATAAAATTAGCTTGTCGGTTGGTTATTCTATAATCCTTCTTCACATGCCCAAATTTCTTGCAATTATGACATTGTGGCTTCCCCTTAAACCAACAATATTTCTCCACATGACTACATTGATTATAAATTTTACACTTTCTTTGGGTGGACTCCTCATTTCTTTGTCTTTGAAAATTCTTCTTGTGAAAATTATTCTTTCCTCCACTTTTTGCATTATCAAATTTACCTTTTCCTTTTCCATTTTCACCTTTCGATTGATTGAAATTCCAAGAGCTTCCTTGAGTTTTAGAACTACTAACATTGAGTTTAGATTGCAAAGAACTTTCAAGTGACTTTTCTGTTTGCTTAACTTAATCTTTGCTCAAATGCTTTAATTGAACCCCATCAATTCTTCAACACTCAAAGTTTCAATGTTCTTTGTATTTTCAAGAACCGCAATAATGGGGTTATAATTCGCCGTCAACGTAATTAAAATTTTTTCCACAATTCTTTCATTAGTTATATTATCCCCATGTATTTTCATTTGGTTCGCAACTTCCATCAATCTAGAAAAATAATCTTGCAACACTTCACCATCTTTTATTTTAATATTTTCAAAATCTCTTCTCAAAGATTAAAGTTTAATTGCTCTTACCTTCAAGTTGCCCCGATACTCCTTTTGAAGAATATCTCAAGCATCCTTTGCCTTGGTCTCGTTGATGATCCTCAGAAAATTTTTGTCTGAAACTCTTTATTGAATCATTGAGAGAGCTCATACATCTTTCCTCTTATGTGCTTTCAATACTTGCTTATGAGCAACCGTCAAAGAATCGACATCTTTGGGGTCATCTTACCCATCTTTAATATACTCCCATAAATCATTTGAAATAAGTTGGGTTTTCATTTTCACACACCAAAAATCATAATTCTCACCATCAAATTGTGGAAACAGAGATGGTTGAGTTTCAAAACTTTGATTACTTGAACCCCCATGTTCTTCAGCACCAAGGTTTGTTTTCCGGAATCAAATATTCACGCCCAGTTGTTGTCGTCGAATCGAGCTTTGATACCACTTTGTTGGCCTTAAATTAGGCTTGAACCTTGATTAAAGAAACAAACAAGAGACTAACTAGGAATATAGGGGAAGGTTTGGAACTAAATTTTCATTTCATTCATCATCTAGAAAAGTCTTTTACAAGCTTTATATGGACACTCCATATATTCTAGAAAAGTCTCTACACACCCAAATATAAACACTCTATATATTCTAGAAAGAACTCTTACAATCTTTATCTAGACACACCCAAATAATTCTAAATTTTTTTTATCTTTGGGCCTAATTAAATACAACAAACATGACCCAAACACATACTAATATTTTATGACTCAATCACAAACATAACATTTTTTAGCCCAAATACAAAATAACACAATAAAGTACATTGATTAAGGAATTTTCATTAACTGGATAGCTAACTATCAACTTGGCCAAAGAGCTACAAAGAAAAAGAGAAGAGCTAGTCCATAAAACTATCAAAGATTTATAGCATTGTTGTCGTTTCATGGTATTTATAAAAATCATTGTATGTTCTTTGGATGGACATGGACATTGTCAAACAAAGTCACCACCAAGAAGAAATACTTTGTCTGTAAGGGTTTGATGTCTCCATGCTCAAAATCCATGGATGATGTTGATGAGGACATCTACCTTAACATACTGCATGCAAAACAAAAATAAAAATACTAGATGATACCGATAAAATCACAGACATCACACAAGACACTGCTACTATCCCATCTATTCCAAATCGACCTTGAGCTAGTATCAACTGAGCTATAGCAGCTCCAAAAAAGTATATGCTCATTACGAAGGGTTCAACATCCTCATAATAAGCAAAGAGAGTAAAGAAACATAGAACAACAGTGAAGAAGGTAGCATGGCCGTCACAAACATAAAAGCATAAACCTTCTCATCTTCATGGAGAAATAATCTACCAGAAGCAACTATGGAGATTTGAAGGAATTGCTCAACAAATGGATAATGATGGGCTCTAAAGCGCCGGAAGAAACTACACCCCTCTCACCTTGATTGTTTGAGACAACCACAATAACAAGGAAAGAAAACATTCTCATTAAAATGGAAATGCCCAAGAACACATACGAGACAAAGTTGTATATCAGAGATGAAGGATTATGTCAGACTCGAGTGTAAATGGATAGGAGAGTAGTGGCATTGCAACCTCCACTTGCGAATATTGTTAAATTCATGATTAAAATTGTAACAAATCCTCCTATGATTTAATGTGAAAGAGGAGAGAGATGGAGGGAGATGCGGTTGATTATGGCTATAGTAGGCAAATGCTTAGGAATGATTACAAATCTACGACTACGACAGCTGTTTTGAACTTATTTATCAATTTACGATACTTTTTAAAAGCGAAATTAACAAATCGACTTTTAACAATAAAAACAAAATTAACAATCCTGCTTTTAATAAAAAAAATTAAAAAGTGTACTCAATGAATACGCTTTCACTTTAGTTCTGTTCATGGTTGCCGCTGCTGAAGGATTCTATTCTGGTGACGAAATATTTCCTTGGGCACCAGGTTCTTGTTTGGGAAGCACTGGTCCACCAGCTTGATTTTCATTGAGTAAATGTCACAACTAGGAGCCAAACAACATTTGCAGAGGCCACATGTCCTCAAGAAATGAGCCATTTCCATGGAGGAATTGCCTGAACCCCTCATGTGGCATCTAGGTGACAAGATGGCCATCGAACGGTGATAGTACCAACTTGGGCCCTCCATAATATGTTCATTTGGTCCCTCCACTTTCTTCACATCACTGATTATCGTATTCTGAGGATCTAACAGAGACGGCGGCTCCACGTCACCCATATCAATTCTGATTGCGGTCATGTTCGTCATTCTCCTCATCGAAGGCCTTGGACGCTTGCCCAACATCACTGGAGAGAGAGAGAGAGAAAAAAATGTGTGTTTCTGTGTGGGTGTTAGGCAGGGGGTGTTGAGACTAGAGAAAGAGTGTTGAGACCAGAGAGAGAAGCTTTTGCATGCACTTAGTACGTTTTTTTTTTATTAAAAGCAGGGTTGTTAATTCCATTTTTATTGTTAATAGCGGATTTGTTGATTCCGCTTTTAAAAAGTGTCGTAGATTGGTAAATAAGTTCAAAACAACTGTATATTTTGATATTTAAGTTTTAAAACCCGTAGATTGGTAATAGATTCGTAATCATTTCTAAGCATTTGCTTACTATAGCCATAATCAACCGCATCTCCCTCCATCTCTCTCCTCTTTCACATCAAACCATGGGAGGATTTGTTGCAATTTTGAATCATGAATTTAACGACATTCGCAAGTGGAGGTTGCAATGCCACTACTCTCCTATCGATTTACACTTGAATCGGACACAATCCTTCATCTCCGATAGACAACTTTGTCTCGTATGTGTTCTTGGTCATTTCCGTTTTAATGGGAATGTTTTATTTCCTTGTCATTGCAGTTGTCTTAGACAATCAAGGTGAGAGGGGTGTAGTTTTTTTAATTTGTTATACAATAATAAATAAATAAAGTTAATGTTAAAATATTTTACACGATTTATCAAATGAGTTAAATTACAGTTAGCTAATAATCGACACGAACCTAAAATGATAAAACTCAACATGACTATCATCCCTAATCAAGATTGATGATCCATATTCATCACGCAAATTCAAACCTACGTTAACACGACACATTTTATTTTAATTCAAGTTCTTAAGAATGTAAGAATCTAATTTAATGTAAATTAATGATCAAAAGTATTTTTTTTTTTTTTGCCATAGGCAAAATTCATGGGTACAGATAAGGTTTCATCCTACCCGATGGATAAGAATTATGGTATTCCATCTTCCTACCCACTATTTTGTGAAATACTTTTTTCTTGGCTAATCTTACCTGATTAAGTGTACTATTTCGGCCAAATTTTGTCCAAAACATTCGGGTAGGAAAATCTAGTGAACATTTATTAATTTTTAAATCATTTTAATAATTCAATTAAGTAACCTGTACCAATTAACCAACACAATAAACTAATAATACTAAAGAAAATACAATAAATTCAATAATACATAGACAATTACAATAAAACACATCAATTAAAAAATATATTTATTCTAGTCGGGAAATACGAAATTTTTGTGGGTATTTCGTATTTCTACACAATTTTTTGCGAAATACAAAAAAATTATTTCGTTAGCCTACCCAATTTTTTTTGTAATAACTCATCAAGTTGGATATTATCGGAATATGCAAATAATAAAAAATTTGAACATCCTAGATTCTTATAAGGTCTAAATAGGTTGTAAAGCTTATCAAATCTTGTATGAAGGAAAATTTTTTGCAAAGCATTACTTGGTAGATCATAAGAGAATGATAGATAATCTTGATTTTACTTTTATTGTGAAAAAACTATAATTTTGACGAATTTTTTTTAGGTTATAAAACGTTACAAAACGTCACTTGGGTAACATCATAGGAGCTGCACTGCACCCTCTGATGGATCAAAAAATGAGGTTGAAAATTTGGAAAACAATATGTATTTTTCTCGTTAGTTTTATGGTTGGATTAAATATGGATGAATAGGAAAAAAATAGATGGAAATATCTTTTTTTTTAGCTAGTTAATTTTTATCTTCCTTTTTACAACTACAAGACTCTCATCTCACATATAACTTTCTCTATCTATCTTATACTCTCTCTCTCTCTCATACTATTATCTTTTTTTTTTGTTTTTCCGGTGTTGTTTTTGTTATTATTTACTCCACAAAACATGCGAAACTATATGTTATATAATTATTTATTTCATAAAACTAATTCAAAGTTTTTATATATCTGACGACATATATTTTACCACTTGCTTCTTAATTTTCAAATAACACTTAATGTAAATAAAAAATTACACGTTAACTATAAATACCAAATAATATTTAACATGAAATGAACCTTAGATTGTAAATTAATATATAATTTCATCAAAAAATGACATTTAACTTTTTTCCAATTTATATTCAAATTTGTCGAATTAATATCAATTTAAATTTTATTGTTATTAAATTAAATATCAAAATTCATTTAATCAATTTTTTGGAATTCTAAATAATATCAATTTTTTGGGTACTAAATCAAATTTTATTTGATTTTATTAAATTTTAAATTTTTTTGGTACTAAATTTAGAGAATGACAATTGTAAAAATAATAAAAATTTTTGGGATGAAATTATCAATTTTTGTTAGCAATATTGACGGAACAAAGACAAAGAGGGTCTTCGTGCAATGAATTCAAATCTCAAAGGGTCTCCGTATAATATTGTCAAAACTCAAGTTGGATACTTGTGATTTTTACCTTTTTTTTTTATTAAACATTAATTTATCAGTATTTTATCTTAAAAACTTGAATTATTGTATTTCTAATAAAAATAATTATTGGTTAGGCGGGTTTTTTAATAACCAAAAAAGAAATATGTGTGGATGTGTTTTTATGTATATTTATATGTAGAGGATTGAACATTTGGTGATTAAATTTATAATTATATTGTGTCATTGGAGGTTGAATGGTAATAGTGATAATAAATTTGTGAGTTTTATAAATAAGCAAAATTTGGTTGATTTTATTTATAGCTTAAAGATAGAGATGTTAACTCTGACTCGTTGACACGAACTCGACACGAACAATTATTAAATTTATACGATTATTAAATATGCATAATAAATAGTCTAGACTAATGTTTAATACTTAAAACACACTAAATATATTTTTTTGTGGGTCTTGACATGAACACGACATGAATAACAATGACACAATACAAATAACACGACATACGGGTTATACGAACACGACACGATCGATACCCCTATTTAAAGATTGTGAATTTAATTGACATATTTGTTATGTCAAATATGTCAAAAAAAATACAAAAGTTCAAATTGTATACTTTGACATACTTAAGTTCTAAAAATAAAGACTTAATAATCTAACAATAAGAGTTGTGTACTTTTTTACAATTAAGTCTAATTTTTTGTACCCTTTTACAATTAACCCTTGTTTGTTAATTCACCTTTAGTTAGCTCCGGAGCATTGGATTTGGCCATTTACATGGTTTAATTTGAGCAATTGAATAACATCCCTTCTTCATGGATCAAGATTTCATAAAAGTGCTTGAAATTTGAAAATTTTAAGTTGTGTTTGTAAAAATGATCCAAGTTTAATATATTGAATTTTTTTTTATATGAAACAATTAATCCAAATAGGTGTGACTTCATTTTTAAAAAGTGTATTCACGATCGTTCAACATCAATCATAGATTTATCTCAAATAATTGTGACTTCATTTTTAAAAAAATGTAACTTAAATCGAAAATAGAATCACACCTATATTTTTAATGGTTGTGCAAATTTTATACTTTTCTTTGACCACAAAATAATTTCTTTCTGGTCCCCAATGTTGTAGTGTCAGGCCATTATATTTTTATTCGAAATTTTGGATGCAAAATCGATTCTCCATTTTTAGTTTTCCTTAGCATCTAAAAATTGTGAATTTAATTGTGTTCTTTTAGTATTAATTTTTTTTTACTCAAGGTCTTTATTACATGGGCATATGATAGATTAAAAATATAGTGGTTGAGTTTACAATTATGTTTGTGTTATTGGATTGAGTGACAATAAATGTGATAAATTCGTGAAACTTATAAATGAGTAAAATAAGTTATTGGATTAATAAGTTATGTTAGTATTTATTTTTTTAGATGCATTTGTAGATATGGTGTTACTTTGGAAGAGTTTTTATATAACAATAATTGAGAGATGTCATGCAGATGCCCAAAACATCTTATGCATGTGTGTGTGATTTTTTTATTTTTTTTAAATTTTGGGTTGAATTCAGGTTGAACTTGATTACTTAAATTTGATTTAAGTTCGGCTTGGATCCGTCAAGTTGAAGCCTAGCCCGAGTATTAACTGAATTTAATTTAAATTAAAATTAATTTTTTTGCCAAAACTTAACTTAAGTCCTAAAAATCTCAACCCAAGCGTAAAAAAATTCAGAATAAAATTGGGTTAGATCCGAGTTAATCCGCCCCGTCGGCGCACTTTAGCTTCCCGCCACTAAGAACTATATCTTTGTAGTTTAAATTTCAACCGCAAACGCAAAATATCACCTAGACTGCCCTTCTCTCTCTCTCTCTCTCTCTCTAGATGTCACTGCTTCTCAATTTTAATGTTTCTCTGTTCCACAGAATTCAACGTTCTCCTTCAGACCCCACCAGCCTTTCTCAATTCCCAGTATTCTCCAAACCCTCTTCTCTTCACTCACTTTCACTCTCCAAATCCCACATTTGCTTCACATTTTCACCATCAAGCAGTCCCAACTACGACCGCGAAGAGGCACGCTGGCTCCGGGAAGAGCAACGGTGGCTCCGAGAAGAACAAAGGTGGCTCCGGGAGGAGTCCAGGTGGAATTCCGAACGCGAGTCGCTTTTGAGTGAAATTCAAACACTGAAACTCCGAATTCAAGACCTGGAGCGACAGAATTCCGTACAGGGACGTCCGGTTACCGAGACGGTGGCAAATCTTGCGAAATTGTTGCAGGTATGGTCACATAATCCCTGAATTTTACCATAATTCATGAATTTATTGCGGCATTGTTCTGTAATTCTTGAATGACTTTCAAAAATCTCGATCATTACCAATTATTCCCGGATAACTGGAATTTCTTGAATTATTTTAAATATTGCGTAGTAATGTTTTGCTGTTTCTTAAATTCTTGTTTTTATCACTTTTCAGGCTTGACATTTTAGGTGAAAAATTTACGGAATAATTCTTAACCCCCTTCCTGATTAA